TAATCCATGCAGGTGGAGAAAAAGGTTTTGTGGAGAATGCCCTTCTCGTATTTAAAACAAATACAAAATATGGGGACTACCATAATGAAATGTATAGCACTAATTTCAAAAGATGGGTATATGAAAAATTACTACCTAATCTACATGAACCTTCCCTCATTGTGATGGATAATGCGCCACAGTATTTGCGTAAATAGGTGTCCTAATTCAAACCACAGTACGGCCGATATGCAGAAGTGGCTTGTAGAAAACAATGTGGATTTCAATGAACAAATGACAAAACCTCAGCTTTATGAGTTAATAAAGAAAAATAAACCTGCTCCGGAATATGAAATTGATAATCTGATGAAAAGTCATGGCCATGTTATTCTTAGATTGCAGCCTTATCATTGCGACTTGAACGCAATTGAAATGATATGGAGCTCTATTAAAAGGAACATAGCAGACAAAAATGTTGGAAAATCTAATGTTTTAATGCCTCAATTAATTGAAGATGCATTCAATTAAATTACACCGGTGCAGTGGAAAAACATTTGTAATTATGTGAAAAAAATTGAAAACTACACAGACTAAAAGACGCGTATTTAGATGAACCCTTTATTATAGTGGCAGAGCGATAGCGAAAGCGATTCCAGTGAATCAGAAGATGAATTATAGGAACCAGTAGCTAACACGGGTACATCTTTCAAAACAGAAATTCCTGGAGTTCAGCCACTTCAACTCCGAGACCACGACCACAATTATTTTTATAAAATATGTATAAAATATATAATAACACTAATTCTCACTAATTTAATATATTAACACGAAATTTGTTTCATTTTATATTATGTGTAATGAATACCTATGTAGTCACCTATTTCCTCGGTGAATTTCTTAAATGGCAATAGTAAGCACTCCACTAGCGACTCTGTTAACTGAACAGATAACTTGATGGCACTTTAATTTAGTTGTTTAAAAAAAAAATATCAAACGATCTGGCAAGAGTTCCTAGAGCGGGAAATTTTGCAATTATAGTTTTAGTGTTCTTCCATACAGAAAACGTCTGGAACTGCCGCGATGCGGTACCGGTAAATTAAGTTTATTCCATAAAAGTTTCAAATCAAACTTCAAGTTTCTTGTTGATTAATGATAAGGCAGTATAATCTATAAATTAATACGTTAAGGGAACAATTTGTACCCTTCTTTAAGCACATTGCGCACAAGGACTAATGTGAAATTTAGAATAGTTAAAGATTAAATTAAAGGTGAATGCAAAAATAATAAAATACATTAAATATGTGTTACAAATACGTAAACAGGTCGGCGGATTGGGACGGAATGCGGTCTTTCTTTGCATCCTACTCATGTGGGCGGGTTTGCTTCTCGCCGGATGATCCCAGCGCTGTTGCTGACTCTGTCACTGATGTGGTGCTACAAGGAATGGAACTATTTATTCCATCATCTGTGGTACCCATCGGAGGCAGATCTCAGCCTTGGTTTGGTCGCTCCTGTAAGACTGCATTACGCAGTAAGAGTGTTATCAAGCCTGGGCTGCGGCTTCGGCGACTCGGGATGTAAACACCAGCACACTTAAAATGAAGTATAACTTCGCCTTCCTTCGGAAACCCGTGTATTCTGGTCTCTCGCCAAGGCTGTCCAAGGGAATTTCTGTAAGCCATCACTACTATCTCTGCACAGGGAGGAAGACTCACTGACCCAAGAAGCAAAAGACAAAGCCGACCTTTTAGGCTCCCTTTTTGCGTCCAACTCGACTCTTGATGACGGGGGGAAAACACCGCCGACCATCCTGCGGTGTGAATGCTCCATGCTGGATGTGCTGTTCTCACAGCGCTCGGTTCGCAAAGCACTCCTCTCCCTGGACATCCAGAAGTCGAGTGGGCCTGACGGAATCCCCCCAATTGTGCTGAGGACGTGTGCACCGTCCTAACGCGTCTTTTCCGGTACTCCTACTTCCAAGGCGTAGTCCCGAATTCATGGAAGACAGCTTTTGTCCACAATCCCTAAAAAAGGCGACCGCTCAGACCCATCCAACTATAGGCCTATCGCGATCACCTCCTTGTTCTCCAAAATAATGGAATCCACTATTAACTGCCAGCTCATGCGGTACCTTGAGGATCACCAGCTGATTAGTGACCGCCAATACGGTTTTCGTCGGGATCGATCAGCTGGTGATCTTCTGGTCTACCTGACCCATAGATGGGCGGAGGCAGTAGAGTCCAAGAGGGAGGCGTTGGCCGTTAGTTTGGACATTGCGAAGGCCTTTTTCTAAGCTCCTTTCCTATGGGCTTCCCGAGAAATCGTGCGATTGGATCACCAGCTTCCTTGCAGATTGGAGCATCAAGGTCGTTGTAGACGGTGCATGCTCCGACTACAAGCCTATTAACGCTGGTGTTCCACAAGGTTGCGTGCTATCACCAACGCTGTTTCTTCTGCATATCAATGATATGTTGCTAACTGGTAACATTCATTGCTATGCGGATGACAGCACTGGTGATGCTCTATACACCGGCCGTGCCAATATTTCTCGGGAAAACGTCGCCGAGTACCGGAATAAACTTGTATCTGAAGTCGAGTCTTTGCTGAACAAAGTCTCGGATTGGGGGCGACTAAATCTAGTCCAGTTTAATTCTCAGAAGACAAGTTTGCGCGTTTACCGCTAAAAAGAACCCCTTTGCCGTATCTCCTCAGTTTCAAGGCACTCCCCTTCTTGCCTCAGCTAGTATCGGAATCCTCGGCGTCGAAATATCGAGTGACGTGCAGTTTCGTGGTCACTTAGAAGAGAAGGTCAAATTGGTCTCTAAAAAGCTTAGCGTGCTCAGCAGAGCGGGACAGTATTTCATGCCGGCACACCGCCTGCAACTTTACAAGGCGCAGGTTCGGCCTCACATGGAATACTGTTCCCATCTCTGGGCAGGGGCTCCCCAGTGCCAGCTCCTTCCACTTGACTGCATCCAGCGCAGAGCGGCTCGAATCGTCGACGACCGAGTCCTTTCCGATCGGCTCGATTCATTGGCACTGCGAAGAAATGTTGCATCCCTTTGCATTATCTTTCGCATCTACCACGGGGAGTGCTCTGAGGAATTGTTCGGATTAATCCCAGCCGCCAAATTTCACGAACGCACATCGCGGCAGAACTCCCGATACCATCCACACCATCTGGATGATTGGCGGTCCACCACTGTGCAATTTAGAAGATGTTTTCTTCCTCGCACGACTTCCTTGTGGAATCGATTACCATCAGCGATTTTTCTGGACCGATACGACTTAGAGACTTTCAAGAAAAGAGCGTACTCCTTTTTAAAAGGCCGGCAACGCATGTGCAATTCCCTCCCTGGTGTTGCAGTTGTTCATGGGCAGCGGTAATCACTTACCATCAGGTGAGCCGCATGTTCGTTTGCTCTCCTATAAAAAATATATACATATACGTAATAAAAGGTTAAAAAAGAAAACATTCATTGTTTTTACATAAGTGTCGCTTGGACAAATTTGTCGTTTGTTGACGTTCATAATAGGAATACATATTTTGTTGTTAAATAGAATTATTCGATTTCAATGAAAATCTAAATTCATAGAATTTTTTATATGTCAGTTCTGTTATTTATATTAGTTACGTAATAATAGTATTGTGTCAAAGTTATGTTATATTTTGATAGATCGTGTTATAAAAAAAAATATAGGGAAATTTTGTTTCACATAACAACCCTTTATTGCACGCAAACACACCGCCGCCATTACAGTGTTGCAGTGCATCAGTTCTTTCTATGGTTCTTTCTTAACAAAATTCTGTCCGGCGTTCGCCAAAGAATATAAATTGACTACGTTTTAGTTCGGACGTCCGTATCTTAATTTTGTAAATCAATGATAAATAAATATAAATTAAATAAATAGTAAGTGTAGTAAGTATAGCCTTTACATTCGGATACCAATCGAAGGCGTAATCAAACAGTTTGTAAAAAGATACTCTGTGACAATAACTGTTCTATACGTAGAACAGAACGTGTATTGCACATGAGTTTTGGCGGGAACTTGACCGGCGGTGAATTGCTGCTCCTGTATTATTGTTTAAATAATGATTTGCAGTGGATTTTGATGTAAGTGTCTGCGCATTTGAACTGTTAGTGGAAACGGTGAAACAAGTGCTCTGATGGTGATGTGATTCTCAAGATAAGGTGTCTGTTTACTTAGGCGCCTTGAGATACTATCGCCAACTGTCAGCTGTCTGCTGGCTCAAGTTGCCGTCAAAATCTTCCAAGGGCTGCACAATGTGACGCATTAACATATTGTGAAGCTGTGTACTATGAAGGATAATTATACATTGTAACTTCAGGCTCAGAAGGGCTAGAACCCAGAGCCGTAAAGCCAGTTATAGAAAAAATTGTATTGCACATTCCAGAAATTTCTGTCATGTCTCCTGTTTCAAATAATTGTCAGTGTTACCTATATTTGTATCACAACAATTGTTATGGTAATTAAATAAGGGATGACAGTCCAGTATAAATGCATCAAAATAATTAAAAAATATGTTTATTTCCATAACGATGGCTGTTGTTTTTATTACAATCAAAGGCCTAATATAATAAATCAACAAATAATACCTTTTAGCAGCTAAATATTAAAATTATGAACAAGTAAAATAAGATTTACCACTGAAAGATTATGATTATTCTCAATATTCCAAATTAATAATATTTTATTATTGGGTCTTGTTACTAAAATCTGAAAGTGGTAGTAACGGTTTTATATAATATAGTCTTTTTGGGAGAAATTATGGATAATTTATAATGTCTTTTCTATGGCAACGTCGTTTTTCCTTAAACATATTTGCACGGTGCACGGCGTCGAGTCGGTCGAGATTAATATCTCAATAGTTCAAGTTCTAGAGCATAGAGTTAATAACTTTTAATTCTAGATATTTAGAATTCGAGAATACATTAAAAAGTTAATAAGTATTTAGACGGCAAAACTGTTATCTAGTAATTAACTACGCTTCAGCCATCATGACGGACGAAACTCTCAGACCTCCTGTTTTATGGGCACAGGAAAGAGAACACGTTTTTCTTACAATTGACATTGAATCTAAAGATCCGGAAATTAAAATAGAGAAATCCTCAGTATATTTTAAAGGTGTAAATGTGCGAGATAATAAAGTATACGAGGTATCACTACCTTTACACTCTGAAGTGAATCCAGAAAAGAGCAACTTCGTAAATAAAGGCCGATGCATAGAAATAATGCTCCAGAAAGAAAGTGGGAGTAATAATTTTTGGCCGGCACTATTAAAAGATAAAAAGAAACCTCATTATTTAAAAATAGACTTTAATAAATGGCGTGATGAGGATGACGAAGAAGCGGAAGAAGGAGGCGAATTAGATTTATCATCGATGTTGCAGGCTATGGGCAGCGACAAAGGTGCCGGTGACAAAAAGCCGTCATTTGATGATTTGGAAAGTGATTCGGATGACGAGAATTTGCCTGATCTAGAGTGAAATTATAAGTAGTGCTTGTGCCTTACTATGCAATAAAGTGTGTATTTTAAGGTTTTTACGGTTATAATAATAAAATAAATATCAAAGGACAATTCTTTAATTTATCAAGTGTAAAGTTGTATCAGCCAAAATTCAAATTAACAACTTGCAGGTTCACAGATTTTTTTGATGTTGTTTGATTAGAATAGCTATAATCTTCTAACCGTGTATGTTTGCCGAGGAATTTAAAAGCTCGCAGATAACCTAACCTTAGAAGGTTTATTGTGAAAACAACAAACATGTAAAATGTAACCTACCATAATAGGGGTAAAGTTAAATAAAATATCAGTTTTAAAATATTTAGCAAGAAACATCTATTAAAATTTGTAATTTACATAAATTGCTTCATGGTTGATTAAATCTAGTAAATGTGACTATCAAATGTGAGGATAAATCTTTGAAGTTATACCACTACTTATATAAAAGAAGATAGAATTATGTTTTTTGCTTTCATTGACCAAGAGTAGATTTACAAGAATGTTTTAAGAACTGTTTTATGCCTAAAGATACAAATGTGATAGAATATCATCTTACTTTATCACACAACATTAATGTTAAATAAGGTCATGATTTAAATATAATATATATGTATGTATGTATGTACTTCATATTTTGTAATATAGATTTCATGGTTTATTAATCTAAATATTTTACCATCTGTTTGTGAACCGACAATTCTTATATTCAGTCCATGTCTTTCAGTAGAATATAAATAAAATAGATTTGATTTAAAAATGTGCTAGTTTACTTGACAAAATTATTTTCCAATCCAGTACAATCATGCTTGAAATCATCAATCATAGCTACCATTAGTAATTTTGACTATACAAGTACAAAGAGTTTGTATTTTTATCTGAGATGAGAATTTATTTGTTAGTAATTCTTTTCATTTACTGTTTATAACGAAGTAACATTCTAGATTCTGTATTAATGTAGCTTTAGTAGTAGTCACAATTGCCCATAGTTGCAACATTGCACTTGCATGTGACTTAATAATAATTTTTAACCAAAAAGTAGCACAAGATGAACACCATTAATCTAAAATTATTAAACAATCAATACCATACATTGCCACAAAAAATATTTTCAACTGACTTCAAAAAAGGAGGAGGTTCTCAATTTGACATTATTTTTTTATGTTTACTGAGAAGTTCTTTCCAGGTAAACTGATTTTGATGATTCTTTTTTATTTGAAAGCTGGTGCTTTTCATATGGTCCTATATAAATTTTTAAAAATCTGACCAGTAGTTTTGAGTTATCCTTAATAATGTGTAATTAATTGACTTAGACTACATTGATGATGTTCTATTTTATTTACATTTATGTCTGTTGTACAAAATTTTTCTTTTAATGACAGGCTCCTAAACATTTTTTTGACTTTGGTGATAACTATTGAATTCAGGAGCTGCCAATTGATGTACAGGGTGGAAAAAAATAACAGTACATAGAAGGAAAGTAATTTAAATATTGAATATATCAAATTTCATTCAAAAGAAACATTCCTTTCTTTTTGAAAATAAGAATGACCGGGGTAGCCCCAGTAGTCTTACAAAGTAGTCTTACTAGTGAGACTACTGGAAAGTCTTATGAATTAACCTTACAAATAGATTACTGGGAATTTTGTTAAAGTAGACCTAACTGGTAAGATCACTGGGGAAGAAAATTCTCAGTAGTCCCACACAATAGAAATAGATGGAAATTTTTATCAGTGTAGTCGGACATCTCAGACTACTAATAGCACACCACAAACCTTGTCAGGTTACCTCTATTGTTTCTTCACATCCAATATATCGTAGTAGGGTAGGGTACTTTTGCAGTTTAATGTAGGAATAGGCACTAGGATAGTTATACTGTTTATATTTTATACACTAATACTACTTATATTTACTTCTGTTCACCAGATACTTCTGAGAGAAAAATATATAAATAGACACCTGAGCTTGCGCATACAATCCAACACTAAAATTCATATTTATATAAATTTATACTTACAATTATAGAAGGTCATGAAATCTAACAATTTGTACATATCGACTTGAACTTACATCCTAACCTAGTCTCTCTAAGAAGCTTTATAAAGGCATTTCTCAAAACTCCACCATAGAGTACCTAAATTAAAGAAAAAATATATGAAGTTAATCACCTAATAAAATCCTTTAAAAATACAGACAATTGGACCCATTTACGCAAACAGGAACCAACCCACAGCAGATTGATTTCGAGAAAATGGGACTTTAGTAAAAAGAGTGTGCAAAATATTAATGTATATTTTAGTATATTATTTAGTATATTAGCATATTAAAAAATAAATATTTATTAAATTTATGTGGGACATCGAAGCCTTTCTAGGAATACATAATTCATACATGTTTATAAAATTTTACTATAAGTAATAATTAAAAAAAACGGTTTGGTTCCTTCTGGTAAAAAGCAAATTTGTGGCTTGGTTCCTTTTCAAATTGAACATGGGTTTCAATTCCTATCATATTTTTAATAATTTAAAATTAAAAATTTTGTACAGCCGACTTCAATATAAGTTATTAAGAATAACTCAAAAGCTATTGGTCTGATCTTGACACACGAGAAGTACCAGCTTTCAAATAAAAAAAGAATCATCGAAATCGGTTCACCCAGAAAAAAATTATGAGGTAACACATAAAAAAACATACAGTCGAATTGAGTACCGTCTACTTTTTGGAAGTCTGCAGAAAAAAAAAAACAGTTATTTAGTTCGTGAATTAGTAGTACAAATAATAAATCTGTAGAAAAGTCGTGTCTATAATCCTAAGATATTCTTGAAAAAACAAGTCCATGGGATTAAATAAAGGGTTCTGAAGCCAAATTAATGGTTTTTAGAATTTTTGTCTGTCTGTCGGTGTATTCCGGATTCACGCAAAAACTATTGGACCGATTTACATGAAATTTTGTATATAGATAGTTAGTAACCCGGGGCAACTTATAGGCTACTTTTTATCCGATTACGGATCTTCAAAAAAAAAGGTTAAGTATTTTTCTTCCTTTGCATGTTAATTTTCTATTATATCTAGTTATTATAGGCGTGATGACGGGTGTTGTTCAAATATATAAAGTTTAAAATATAGTTATGACCTTGGTAAAATCATTTGAGCCGATTTAGTTATCAAAACAGCGCCATCTATCATTAAATGGAAAAAGTAGTATATTTTGCTAATTAATTAAATAATATAAATAACTTACATTTATATGTTTAAATAATTCGATTTTTAAAATTATTAAAAAGTTCTAACGTTGAGTTTTTTTATTATTTTTGTTATTTTATTTTAAAAGTGTAATAATTTTAATAGATAATAGTGACGTCTATCAAAAATATGTTTGATAAGGTTTTCATTTCAATTACTAATCTATCTGTTAACTGGTTAAAACTGGTCTGTCTGTAATATTTGCAAAAATTTTCATTAACTTTATAGTTTTATTAAAAATATTTTTATATATTATGTCGTGGCCAGATCATAGAATTAATCATATATCAAAAAGTAGTCTATCATTTCGTGATATTTAACACTGTTCGTTGACAATGTCATGGTATAGCTTGACCAAATCAATAAATAGAAGTCGTTTGAAGATACTAATAACTAAACAACATGTTGGCTATTTCATGATGTGGTGATATGACGATATCATTAAATCATTTTTCACCGTTAGCAGCGCTGATAGCGTAATTTTTAACAGAAATAGAACTTTTAACAGAATTGACTCCACTTAATGCCTTATTGATATAATAAATAAAGGTTCGCTTCTATCGCTGATATTACTGGATATTATAGTTTTGACTTTCATTATTTCATCTAATAATAGCGCCATCTACTTACATTTAAATAAACAAAAATGGTAAGTCGCTGATAAAATTAAATAATAGAATGCTACTGAATATACGATGTAAATAATTGAAAATTCATTCGTGTCATCGTTGGATGTATAATTACTAGGTAGGTGTAGTCAACAATCATGCAACAAAGGTTCAACAAACAAAGGTTCATTTTGTTTTAGTTGCCAAAGGCGGTACATAATCAAACTGTAAGTAAGCATTATTATATATTTTAGCATATATTTTAATTGCAATTGGAAGTGTCGATTTACGTTCTCGGCGGTGAAGGAAAACCTGCACATCTGAGAAGTTTCTCAGTTGAGGTCATCCCGCGTTGGAATCAGCGAAGCGAACACTTTTTGGCCAAAAACTTTCTGCGATTGCAAAGATGAGTAGAACTCATTATCGTCAGCCTATCTAAAGTTCACTAAAATGAACATAGGGCTCTTCCATAAACTGTCAAGTAGCTGGATATTTGCTATAGTAGTCATGCTTGGTAGGCGGGTTGGCAACCGAAGCTATTATTTTAATCTGTGGTCAGGAAGATGATGCTGCCCATCTCCTGTTTGTTTTCCTAAGTCGCCTCTTATGACGGGATGATATGAGGTGGCGGATTCCCTTTTACCGTCACAACAAGGGGAACATTTTTCTACTTCCGTTCATGAGTGTAGTAGTACGCATGTTCAGTCTGACTAAAGTTAAAAAACTAATTTTAAGTATTTTATCGCCTTTAATTTTAACTTTTATAATTCCCGATGTTTTGGGCACTTTACAGCACCCATGGTCACGGGAAGACTGAGGTGTTTGACGACCTGATGTCATAGTTAATTTTATTAATTATGGGGTCCTTAGCAGATGGTAGCACTCAGCCATCTTTCCTATTAAAATTAAGATGTTTTTTTTTAAATACCAATAGCCTCGCGAATCATCATTGGTAGGAATCGGTGTTCTATTGCAAGGATTTGTTTGGCTATCAGATCCGATATAATCGGGGCCATACTAAACATGTTGACATACTTTAGATTTTCCGGAGCGTCGGTGCTTCACATCAACGATATGTTCTTTTACGTGGGTTTTTGTGAATTTTTCATCCGAAGATGCGTAAAAAACCCCACGT